TGTAATAGAGTTTAATACAACATTCGAAGAAAAACGTGTCGGCAGGAGCCCACAAGAAATTTTAACGCGGCCAACATACAGAAACGTACTTACTAGCCTTCAGGGCACAATATGAAGGCAAAATGGAATTGTCCCACGATATAGTAAGTTTTTTCCTTCCGTATCTGCCCGACTCGTCTATAAATATAATCAGGGTGCGATAATTCGTGTACTTGCATACCGGAGGTACGCCAATATTAAAGTCTGGTACGTCTTTGTTTTCAGCCACGTACCATGTAGGTACGCGGTACCCTTACTATCTGCATACTTAACTTTTTGTCACCATATGACCTTTCCAAGCCCAAGGTATTAAATACCGTAATTTAATTGTGTAAGTCTGACATGTCTTGGCATGAAACACGATTGGACTGATAGCACTAAAGCATGTTGAGGTCGATTGTATAGTGGTTTGAACTTTGAATGTACTTTTCAGAAACCTGTTCTTTATGTAGTTTTTGTATAAAGACTAAGTACACATTAAGTATTGAGTTTGTTCTAGCGCAAGTACGCGGCAACAATCACTGGCGTACCAGTTTGGTACGACTAAAAACCTTAGATTATCGCACCCTGAAATATACTAATAGTTAATTGATAGTTAATTAACGGTCATTTCATTTATTTAGGTGGCTGACAGCGCTTTAACGGCTCTTTTCACAGAAGCGACGGCCCTGGAGTACGAGACCTTCCAAAACACAGTAGGGAATCTGACAACCACAGACAGAAATACTGCAGATTTTGTCTTCATGATGTGTTTGAGTCGGAATGTCATTGGTCGTCTTGGGAGTGCTACAAATAAAGCGAAAAATTTTTTTAGAAGATATATTGGATCGAATTATATTCGAGAAATGGCAGAAGCTGGTGGAGTGGTAAGGTTCATGGATTTGATAAGGAAATTGTTAACACCCTGTCCCCCCCCCTTGCCAAGGTTAGGAAGGGTACGCACCCTCTTTGCCTCCCCCTCCCCAGTAAATACATCACTTTTCCTGCCTCCTCTGCCAGTTCTTATTTTTTGGCACACATCAGTGACATATATAGATCAGTGATTGGGAAGTTCTCCCTGAGCCTTAAATCAATTTGTATGCAACCCACACCACCCCCCTCCCCCCACCTTTTAAAGTGAGCGGGGCAGTCCCTGTTCATTGGTGTTCATTGACACACTCGGTGTTTCAAATGATATAATCATAGGCGTATGGAGCTGATGCATTTCGGTCGGGGGGGGGGGGGGGCAGTTGAACGTTTACCCGAATTTTTATGGAGAGTTGTAATGAAATAACTAGAATTTAACATATTTTCTGATAAGTCTGCCCAAATTCTCTTGATCTTTCCTACCATTTGCCCCAAATTCCATGGTTGGCCCTAACCGTTGGGGGCAGTTACCCCCCCCCCCCTGTCGTATACGCCTATGGATATAACGGATTATATGAAATGAATTCTTTTGTTTATTTTAGGCACAATATGTCCAGCAGTAGTATTCGTTACTTGACAGATTGCTTGAGAGCTGTGCACCGGTGGTTTGTGTGCTTATACAATCAACACTTGACTGACTGACTTAATTATCTTATTGGGCTCTTGCAAGCAACGTTAGAACTCTTGCATCTGAGAGTTCCTTATCCGCCATTTTGGGTGTCAAATTAGAAATAGTTGATTAATTAAGGAAAGCCTCACATATCCATTTTGTCCACGAGAAACGTCATATGGACGTTTGGGATTTGCAGCTGTTATACGTTTTTCTGTAAAGCATCATGGAAAAATTCGATAGTTTTTTCGAAAGCCTTAACACTTCGGAATCATCTTTGCAGAATATAAAAAGAAAACAACATACAAACACCAGTTTATACATTCGTAATACCATACCTGTTCTATACATTTATATTATTACGCTTTCCTTGCATTGAAAACACTCGCATTTCAAGAAAAACGCGCTAAAATTGTCAATATTTCTTGCGAAAAAGTTGTTTTGAGAAACATTGGAAATTTTTAAGTTCATATACTAATAAAAAACAGATACTGTCCGGTGGCAAAGTATTTTGCCCTTGTCGTGTTGGACAGTGTCCGTGTCCACCCGCTTATTTTCAGGCTTTCTTATATTAATGGTCCACGGCTGCATGTAGTGGTCGGTTAAATAAAAGATTTTACCACCCAAAATGGCAGATTATTTTTGATGATACGCCATACTGCAAGATCTAATAGACTTTGTGCCTTAAATAATGTAAATAAGTAAATTTTTCAATGTTATAATTTAATTATCATGATTGATCTACCATATTGATCTACCATATCAGTGCACTATGAGACCAAAGCCTGGTTTCCATATGGTCGTAACGGTCGTAAAGATTGAGTCACGATCTTTCTCATCAGCCGGAATACAACATTTTAAAACTGAAAATACGCTGAGTGATTATAACTAGAGAATATACTTATGATTTACAGTAAAACCCCACATATAAGAACCTAGAATTTAAGAACCTGTCAGGCTAAAATATTTTATTTAAACCCCCTTTAAATAAGAATCTGTTCAGGCTAGAATTTCAAAACAGATTTTTATATTATCAAATAAAGTCAAAATTAAGTCATAAGTTATATAATCAGTGTAGCTTTAAAGTGCATATAGGTCGGTATAGTGCATTTGTGCATAATTTATATAAATCATATACCACACCTCCCTAAAATGAGTCGCTTTTCTAACTAAGAACCTATTTTTGAACCTGTTTAGCCTAATTTCCTGGTAAGTACCATTTACACAAGAACCTGTTTAGGCTAACTTGGAAATCGGGGTTCTTATATGCGGGGTTTTACTGTATATGTGGTTTACATGAGGTATAAACTATTATAAACTGGCCGTTGAGAAAGATCGTGACTCTAATTTTTACGACCAAAACGAGCATATGGAAACCATACTCAAGTGAATCAATAGAACCTGTTCAAATTTGCATACTGTAATCTCCCCCCCCCTGAAGTATTCATTCAAAAATGCACGTAATACACTTTTCGATAATTACGTCATGAATATGTTCTTCGCCTGGGAGCCTTCTTCTCATGAATCGTGAGCCAATCGCCTTCCGTCTTCATTCATGACAGCGAGGCTCCCAGGCCAAGAACGTATTCTTAACGCAATTATCGAAAAGGTGTTATTGTTTTTGTAAACAAAATTATAATACAATTTTACAGATAAATCCGTAATATCCCCTCTCTTTCAAGTCCCCCCTCCCCCTTCTCCAATAAGTGTCCCTCTCAAAGGTGCCCGAACAAGCTTCCCGGGGGCTTAATACATGGAGGGGGGAGGGGGCTTAATGGAGAGATTGCAGTTAACTTGTCCTTTGAGTTAAAACCGGACGCATGAAACAAGATGATTTTGAGAAAAACTAGCAACACGAATGTTCATTGACCATGAACAGATGGTCCAATTTTTTCTGGTCTCGTTTAAATACAGCTAAGTTACTGTTAAGACTAAATTTCTTGTAATAATTGTTACATAATCAAATGCTTAATAAATATACGCTACAAAAGTTGTTTTTAATTTTTAAACAGGCCTATGGCACACCCTTAAAAAAAATACTACCGGCACATTATTTTTTTAGTATGGTATATATTAAAATATATAACCGTGAATAAATCGTTGATACTTGAAAACGGTAGCGATTTACCATGAATAAAATGATCTTGGGTGATTGTGGTGCCCCCACACAGTGAATTTCAGTAAGTTTTTGTATAAATTCGTCGAGTACTGCCTCCCAACCATCCGACCCAGAGCATCCGACCCATGCTAACCCCACGCTGTGACGAAGCTGTTCCCATGGCAACCGACAAGCGAACCGCGGGCATTTGAAAAAATTATATAAAAAGATGGCTGACAGGAATAGTAGGTGAGTGCTCTCGTCTTTTTGTTGTTTCGTTGCCTTTAAACTTGTTTTGAAAAGGTGTTTAAGTATGCAAGAGTGAGACTAAATGACGGTAGTGTAATGCGAGTGCTTTCTTGCAGGAATTCGCTTTTAAATGCTAGCAAAAATCAATTTCAAAATTTGTGTTACGAAACTTTCAAAGGAGCACGAAAAGAATTCAAAAGATTATAAAACTATACGAGTATAAATTTCTCTTTAATTTTGTCGTGGGACAGTACAATTCATCAAATACAAAGCTGTCTTGGATGAAATATAAAAGGCATTTCTCTTCAGCGTTGTATATAAAGTTGTTTTTTTTTTAAATAGAAATTCAGTGCTAACTGTCCCAAACTGACAGTTGGCGCAAAATAAATTTCAATTGTATGTTTCACAAAACCTTTTTGGTATACGGAAATAAGATTGGATAACCGTAGTTTAATAAGAGGGTTTGTTTGACGAGTTATGTGGTATATGCCAGTGTAAGAGATAAGTTTTAAAATATGGTTAAAATATATAGCGTACTGTCTGCATACATTCCTGTGTTTGGAAAATTTGTTAAATTTTGCCTGGGTTTAGTTGCAAGGAGATGGGTTCGAACTGCAAGCCAAGAAAAGGTGCAAATACTAGCAGTTTCTATTAAGACCCAGTCTGGAAAGTTAACTTTTTGCACGCCAGACATCGATTCGGGCACATGTAACTGTACACCAATTTTGGAAATATAAATGTGCAAAAGTTCCAAACACACCTTTTCAGTACAAACCTATTTGATCAATATTTGTTGAATTTGAACAATTGCTAGTCTATGTAAACAAATGTATGCCAGTATGTACGCCAAAGTTAATGTGTTTGTACACCGGACAAGTCTGGCATGTACAGACTTTACATTCCAGTCTGGATTAAGACTGCAAGTGCTACAAGTGCTTGCCACATTGGCTACAAGGAGGGGCAGTGCTAGACCTCCTTCAATGGGGGGTGGGGTGGGGTGGGGGAGGTATAGTTTTGCCGAGTCATCAGCTTGGTCCATATTAGCCTAGTATGTCGTACTACACACTTACATTTACTAAACTTTGGTTAATATACATGGATTATGCAAAAATCTCCACTTTCACAATTAAAAACTGTCAGGCATGTTGACTATACGTGACTGTTTTTAACCACATACTGAGTTCTAGGGGGTCCGGGGGCATGCTCCCCTGGAAAAAGTTTGAAATCTAGAGTGTCTAAAATGGCATTTTTCCATTCTGGGGAAGATTTCAAATGCCTACCTCTAAACAATTAAAACTGATCCTAATCACCCATCGTTTCCAGTCATGCCCGCTGTCAAAAATCAACTTGTCTGCAATCTGCATTTGCATAAGCTGTTTTGAGTTTTAAAATTACCAGCTGCGACTCGATAGAGAGAGTACATTTTCAGGATATCTATTCACCTTGGGATATTGTTCAAAGATGGGTTCGGCATGTCTGTTCCAGAGATGGATTTTCATATTTTCGTTCGGGGGGCGGATAAATATCTGGGCGGGGGTGTGCTGCTGCTTGCTTTGGCCGGGGCCTGGTGGCAACATCCAGAGAGGCCAAGGTCTGCATGGAGGCATCTGCATGAGACCATAATATTAGTAATAATTATTTTACAAATTTAGTAATAAATAGGAAAATATCAAATCAAAATATGTATTTTAATTTGAGGGGGTACAAAAACGTTTTTGGGGCAGTGCCAAATGCCTCGGGGGGGGGGGGGGTGCAAAGCATCTGCACCCCCAGAAAATCCGTGCCTGGTCTGTTCATAAACTTCTGATCAATGATCTGGACAAGATTTCTGAAAAAAATATTTCCAAGTTTATAAACAAGCTGAGCACTGGGAAGTTCACAGTATATGCGCTGAATTTTGCATTAACCCATGGTTATGCTAACCGGCTTTGGAACAACGGCCCTGACTTTTTGAAGTATTAAGTTTTATATATAAATAATTAATTCATGTTTGGTTTTAATTCAGATAATTCGATAATTTGCTCTGTTTCCAAACAGCTCAATTCTTGCTTGCCGAATGAATGCAACAATTTGCCGAGACTTATTTGTGAATGAGGAGTGTTCCATGCACCCCCCCCCCCCC